TGGTTTCAGAATTGATTGATGACGGTCTGTTGAGAGCACTATGGAAGTATTCCACCCATCTCTCCAGGATCACGTCCTTATGACTAATCAATGTGGCTCCATCAGCACTGAATAGTTGAGATGTGCCATAGGTCTTTTGCCCATAAGCAGCCTGCAGGGCATCATAAAAATGCTTTGGATTGTTACTATCAGCATAAAACTGAATTTCATCTGCTTTCTTACTGAGCCAAGAATCCTGCATCTCTCTAAGTTTCACTTGCACTCTACTTTTGATGGGGTTGAACATGGCCCTCCTAGAGACAGATGAACTACCCTGCTGGTAAACCCCATGGAGTTCTCGTTTTTCATTTAGCAGCTTCTGAATTTCCCCATCATTTTCATTAAGCCAATCTTGATGTTTACAAGTGTTCTGACCCAAATGAGCAAATGCAGTGCTGTGCACCAAGTCTCCGAAAGTTGCCCACTCCTTTTCTGCTCCGCTATTGCCAATTGTGTGTTGGTTCAGCTTTACCTCCAAAGTAGCAACAAACTGTTTGCACCTGGAGAAGCGCTCTAATCCATTGTCTTCTGGTAGTCATCTTGCCTTGGGGCCACCACTTTTGTTGAATGTGAATGTTTAGCTTGGAGAGGATAAGTCTATGGTCAGTCCAGCACTCTGTGCCACACATTGCCTTCATCATTCTCACATCCTGTCTCTTCTCCTCACAATGACATTGTTTATTAAATGCCAATGTTTGCTGTGAGAGTGTATCCACAAAGTTTTATTTCATTCTGGTAAACAGAAGACAATGTTGGTGATGAGAATGTCATGAGATGCACAAGTTTTAAATAGTAGGTGATTACTACTGTTGCTGCTTCTTATTCCATTCTTCCCAAGGACTCCCTGCCACATCGGGCAGTCTGAGCCTACTCCTGAATTAAAGTCACTCAGAATTATAAGCTTGTCCTCTTTCAGCACATTAATGATGAGGGTCTCCAGGTCTTCATAACTATTTTTCTTTGACCTCATCAGGGTTTGTCATAGTGGGAATGCAGGCACTGATGATGGTGGTATGGCATTTTCCTGCAAGTGGCAATCACATTGTCATGAGCCTGGAATTCATTCCTTTTGGTAGGCATACGAACTTGTTGACTAGATTAGTTTTGGTTGTGAAACCCACACCAGCTTCACAGCACTCCCCTTCCCTGCAGCCACTCCAGAAAGATGTTTAGCCAGCTCAGACTTTGGTAAGCTGGACTTCATTTGCCAGCTTTGTTTCACTCAGGGCTGCAATTTGGATGCTACACCTGCTGAATTCTCTTCCAACAAGAGTTGTTCATCTTTTCATGTCTACTGAATTTTGTGTTGTACATAAGCATGCACACATTCCATGTAGCAATGGTGAGTGGAATCATCTTCACAAGTTTTTGTACTTTTTTTGGTGTTTTGACCACAGGGTGGGATTCCCACCTACCTTGGTAAGCAGGCCAGGGTTGAGGCTTATACCCCAAGGAAGCAATCAATAAGAAAAAGGTCCCCACATACTCCCAAATGTTTATAGCAGCTTTTTGTAATAGCTAAGAATTGGAAACAAAGATGTCCATCTGTTTGGGAACAGCTAAACAAAATGTGGCATGTGGACGGAATATTACTGTGCTGTAAGAAATGAAGTATGTGATAAATACAGAGAAGCCTGGGAAGATCTACATGAACTGAGGAGGAATGAAGTAAGCAGAGCCAAGAAAACAATCTACACAGTAATGAAAACAAGGTCAGTGAAAAGAACAACGGTGCACCACACAGTCCAAAGCAGACGTAACATGAGTGTGCAGCTCCAGCGGCGTCAGATGAAGTGCTAGGACAGAATGCCCTGGCGCCCTGCAGAGCAAGAGGAGGTACACAGCTGTCACACATTGCCCATGGGACTTGGTCGGCGTTTCAATCACTTGTGCTAGGTTTTCGTCCTTTCTAAAAATACTATTTTGTTAGGAGGAATGGCTCACTGTGCTCCTCTCAGGGCTGAAGACCTAGGCTTGGAAGGGACCACAGATACCATCCAGTCTAATGCTCCCAGCTGACAGAAGAGAAATCAAAAGACTGGAGAGGGTCCTTGCTCAAAGTCACAGAAACACGACTCGCTTTTGCAAACCCAGACTGAAAGGCAGGTGGAACTCCTAGAGTTCTCTCTCTGAGGAGAATGCCAAGCCAGAATTCCCATTCCCCGCTCCACTCTCCCAAATGAATCGAGAAATCCCCAAAGCTCAGAGCTGAAAAAGACCTCTGTGACTAGCCTGTGCGTTTCAGAAGTGATGTTGGCCTGACTGGTAGATAAGACCAAAGAGCTGTCTTTAGTGAGGTCACGGGGTCCAATCGAAGATATATGAAACTGTCCTTCCTCATTGTTATGAATGAAAGACCTTGGCCTCTCGGCCAAGTTTCTGGGTAATTAATAATTTATTAATCGGACTGGCTAATAATCAATAAAGTGATGGTCAGTGGTTTCTCTTGGCAACCAAAGAGAAAAGACATGGAGAGCCTGAAAGCTTTAAATGATCCTCAAAAGGGAGTTCCCTTGACAACTGAAAATCGATCCTGATTGGTGGACATTTAATGAGGAGGTGGGCTAGAAGTCTTCAGCTCCTCCCGCTGAGAATGTGGCTTGATTAGGAGTCTCAGCCGCCTCCAGCACTCTGGACAGGGAAATTCATCTCCGTCCAGACCACTCTGGCTGGTTTTCTCCTTGAAGCTGGGCTACCCTAAATGCTAATGGAGGGGTATAAGGAGAGGGGCTCATTTCCTTCAGGGTAAGAGCTCATCTAGACTGGATTCTGTTTACACTCCAAGCAGAAGTAAGGTCTAGTTGGATGGGGTCCCACCCAAGATTGAATAGCATGTACCTTGAGGGCTAGGACAATCTCTTCAATTAGCCACATCCTTTAGAGATGGACTTTTTTTTTTTTTTTTTTTTTAACAGGAGCTGGGCCTCAATGAAGAAACGGAGGTGAAAAAGCCTGGATCCTCACTTGATAATTGCTTATTAAGATGATAGAAAAATAATGTGTCTCACTCACATTCCTTTATTGACCTCAGAAACTTCTTGATGCTGAGTAATGCTGCCTCTGAGGATGTTTTCCAACTTTACCAGAATTAGAGCTCGGTCAAGAATGGTGCCAAGTTGGACCCCTTGGGTACTAGGGATTAGGACTATGCATTCAGCTTCTGGACTAAAACAGGATGGATGACCGGCCCAGGCCTGCCCAGACCTGGGCAAGGATCTTTTCAATTAGGAGGCTGAGAAGTGGCCAGCCAGTGTGTTCTGAGCTTGCTTCCCACAAGCCGGAATCATCCACAGTTGCCTTGGTGGACCGTCAAGGCTTTTCGTTTTCTTTTGTTTTTGCTTCGTTTCCTGTCTCTGTCTCTCCTGACTGGGGCTGGGGCACCGAGACGGTGCAGTCCTGGTATAACAGGGTGTGAGAGGTCAAAGCAGGGAGGCCCAGGGCTCCTTAGGAGAAGGCTTCTCAGGGCAACAGGAGCTCGGGCTTCCACATCAGGCAAGCTGCGCTCTGGCGCCAGCTGGCTTACTCCCTTTGTCATTCTGTGCAATTTGTTGACCTTCTCCGGGATTGTTGTTCAAGCCTGTCCAAGGAGGGGGAATGCTTCCTGCTTCCCCCACCCTGCAGTTGTTCTGAGGCTAAAAGAAGAGACTAATGTGGAGCACAAAGCTCTACCAGATGTGAGAATGCATTTTTCAAACAGGGGCCCAGGATTCCAATGGGAGCTGGCTGTCAGCACCATGGACAGCGCCGCAGCCTCTCCGGGAGCCTCCCCAGGAGCGGGCCTCTCCCGCATCACCACCACCATTCGCTGCCAAGATGCTTACCGAGGGCTGCCTGTGCAAAGGAGGAAGATCTGGGCCGGGGGGGGGGGAGGGGGGGGGGAGAAGAACCGGGCGGATTTTAATGACCACCAGCCGGCCAAGCTTCTCTGTTAAGACCCCTCCCTCTCAAAAGCCCCGCTTTCCTCTTCCAAAGGAGGGCTAGAAGGAGGCTGGCGGGGGGCTGGCGGGGGGCTGGCGGGAGGTGACCTCCGAGACTCCCTTCGGAATGACCACAAGGCAGAGGCTGTGCCAAGAGGGGCCACAAGAAAGAGACGAACATTAACAAATGAGCGAGAGGGGCCCTTTGCGAGGCTCAGGGTCACAGAGCTGCCCATCCATCGTGACCAGCCTGGCCACGAGCCTCCCAGCAGGATTTCTGCCACGGCCGTGCAGCCTCGGCGTGTCTGATGCCCCCGGGCGTCGGGGCTCTGCCCCTCCTCAAAGATCCTGCACCACGATGCGGGTGTGAGCCCGCCCTGCGCGCGGCCACGTGGTGCTGATGGCCTCTGGCTCATCCTGGGCAAGACACGCAGCTCTCGGATTGCCTCGGTTTCCTCAGCTGCAAGTGGGGAAGTCATAGCACCTCCTTCCCCGGGCCGTCGGGAGGGTCCCCAAAGCACCGTAAGAATGCTGGCTGCTGTTATTATTGCTGGCAGTGCGCACTCCCTCCGCTGGTGCAGATCGCCTCCCTTCTCGGCTCGAACCTGAGTGCTGCGGGGACGCCCCCTCCCCAGTCTGACGGAGGGGACATAGGGGCTTGCCCGGGTAGCCGCGGATGCGGAGCTGCAGAGCTGCGGGGCCTCGAACCCGGGTTCTTCCCCCGGACTAGAAGGACCCCACTGGAAGGACCGCTGAGCGGGGAGGGCAATGGGGAGGAGCGGAGGGCCCCACCCCTCTCCGGCCCCGCCCACCCCGGGCGCACAGGCGCAGAGCTGGCTTCGGGAGCACGGGCGCTGCGCAGGCTCCGCTCGCTCCGGCCCCGCCCCGCCCCGCCCCGCCCCGCCCCGCCCCGCCGCGAGCAGTCGCAGTTCGGCCCCGTCCTCCCGCCCCCAGCGCGCAGGCGCAATGGCGCCGTGTCCCGGAAGCAGTGTGTCGCAGCCGGCCCCGGGGAAGCACGTGGGTCACTTGGGAGCGCGGCGCAGCATGGCGGGCACTCGGAGCTCCCGGGGCGCGCGGGGCGCGCGGGGCACGCGGGGCACGCGGGGATCGCGGGCGGCGGCGGCGGCGGCGGCGGCGGAGGCCGAGCTGGAGCCTGCCGAGGTGGCGGAGGAGACGACGGAGAAGGAGGAGGAGGCGGCGGCGGCGGCGGCGGCGATGGCGGGCGCGGCGCGGGGGGCCGCGGGGGCGGAGGAGCGGGCCCCCGGCTCGGTGTCGGCGGCGCCGCTGCTGCAGCAGAGCCGGGACTTCCTGGACCTGTTCTGGGGCATCGCCAAGCCGGCCCAGGAGGAGCGGCTGGCGGCCACGGCGGCGCTGGTGGAGCGGCTGCGGGAGCGCCCCCAGGTGCGGGGCTGGGCGGGTGGGGGGGGCCCCGGGGAGGGGCGGG